AAAAAAAAAAATAGCCAGGTGTTGTGGAGGGTGCCTGTAGTCCCAGCTACTTGAGAGGCTAAGGCAAAAGAATGGCTTAAGCCCAAGAGTTTGAGGTTGCTGTGAGCTGTGATGCCATGGCACTCTACCCAGGGCGACAGCTTGAGACTCTGCCTCAAAAAAAGAAAAAAAATTCTAATTTGCTACATTTAGGAATTCCCTTCAGAAGAATTTCAGAGCAGATTACTGAATGAATAATTTGGGATTATGTATTTAAAAGCAGCAGATGGATGTTAAAGGCAGATATCTCTATACCAAGTTAGGTCTGAAGGATCCCATCTCCTTTCCGGAGGAGAGGCTGGTCAGCTGAAATAGAAGTTGCTCAAGAGGCCTGGGTAAGGCCTTGCACAAGGGGGGGCCTGGTACACTGCGTCCGGCTAGTAGGTGGGCCTGGGAAGCTAAAAGAATAAAGATAACAAATGAAAGTTTATCTTCTCTTTATGCAAACTACAAAAACTATGGAAAATACCAAATAAACAGGATGAAGAAAAAAAAATCACCTAGTACTAGACTCTCCTAGGATCTAAGTGCCTGGTGGAGCCACTGGTTGTGTGGCAGCTCCCAAACCCCACCCTTGTCCCACAGTAGACCTTGGGGAAAAAGCTCCAGTGTTAGGAATAAAGTCTGAGAGCACAGTCTTTCTAAGGCTCCAAAGGCACTTTAAATTTTTTTTGTAGATCACAAATTTCTGGGCTCAAAAGATCCTCCTGCCTCTGCCTCCTAAGTAATTGGGACTACATGTGGGTACCAACCATTCTTGGGTAATTTTTCCCCCTACTTTGTAGAGAAAGGGCAGTGACTCAGGCTGGTTTCCTGAGCTCAAGTGATCCTCCTACCTACGCCTCACAGAGTACTAGGATCATAGGCATGAGCACCACAAAGGCAGTTTTAAAAGGTTATTTATTTATGTATTGAGACAGTGTATCACTCTGGTGCCCTGACTAGAGTGCAGTGGCATTATAGCTGAAGTGATCTTCTTGCCTCAGTTTTTCTATTTTTAGTAGAGACAGGGTCTTGCTATTGTTCAAGCTGGTCTCAAACTCCTGAGCTTGAGCAATCCACTTGCCTCAGCCTTCCAGAGTGCTAGGATTATAGGCATGAGCCACTGTGCTCGGCCATAGGTTATTTAAAAGAGCAGTTCCCAGCCCTTTATCAGAGAGAAGAACAAAGAAACTCATGTCTGCTGCACAGGCACTGCCCACCACCTGCATATTAGTTTTCCCTGGGTGAACACCCTTGTCTAGTGGTGGGCATATATCAGATGTGCCATATGTTGTGGGTGTTAGGATTGATAGGTTGGTTGGAGCAACTCCAAAAATGGAGCAAGCATTGGTCACTTCATTTTGAGTATAAGGCACTCCATCTTGGTTGTTCAGTGACCGCTGCTGAAACCACCCCATTCTGGGACCCAGCCAGATGAAAGAAGAGGAACTAGCAAACACAATAGCTCCAAGGGGGCTAAACCATTAAGCAGTGGTTCTCAACCTTTGTAATGTTGTGGCCCTTTAATACAGTTCCTGTGGGTTGCAACCCACAGGTTGAGAACTGCTGCCATAAATTAGGAACAGAATGGTCTGAGTGGGAAGCCAGATAGAACTGTACCTGGCAACAGTCATTAGTACATCAAACTAACACTCTCCCCTTCCTACCCTACCTAAAACCTTTAAAAGATAAGAACCTTGGGCCTCATACCTATAATCCCAGCACTTGAGAGGCCGAGGCGGGTAGATTGCTTGAGCTCATTGAGTTGGAGACCAGCCTGAGCCAGAGCGAGATCCTTGTCTCTAAAAAATAGCGGGGCAGGCACCTGTAGTCCCAGCAACTCCAGAGGCAAGAAAATTGCTTAAGTCCAGGAGTTTGAGTTTGCTGTGAGCTGGGATGCCACGGCACTCTACCAAGGAGGACAAAGTGAGACTCTAAAAAAAAAAAAAGATAAGCACATCTTGCTCTTCAGGGCTAATGCCTATAGTTTCAGCCGCCTATTGTTGAAGGCAGATATCTGCCTTTATTGAGGTACCAAATAAACCTTAGCTATTGCTCTACAACCAGTTTTGTAATTTCATTGAGTCAACTGCTACCTTATAAAGATTCTTTTTTTTTTTTCTTTTTATTGGTTTTTTTTTTGGAGACAGGAGTCTCGCTTTGTTACCCTCAGTAGAGTGTTGTGGCATTACAGGTCACAACAACCTCAAACTTTTGGGCTTAAGCGATTCTCTTGCCTCAGCCTCCCAAGTAGTTGGGACTAAAGGCGCCTGACACAATGCCAGACTATTTTTTTGTTGCAATTGTCACTGTTGTTTAGCAGGCCTGGACTGGGTTCAAACCCATCAGCCCTGGTGTATGTGGCTGGCGCCTTAACCATGAGCTATGGGCATCGAGCCTCAATGACCTCTTTATTGCTTTTTCCACTGTACAGGTGAAGAAAACCAAGTGTCAAGAACCTGATTCATGTAGCAGGGAATGGCAGGGCTGGACGGATTCTTCCCAGAATACCAGGTTTCCAGATGGTGCTAAAGAACTGTGAGTAGCTTAGTTTGCTGAGTGTGAATGTGGCCAATCCTCAGTAATGCTAGGGACTGCCAGACCTGACTTAGGTAAGTGGGTTTAGGATGATGTGGAGAGCAGTCCTAGTGGTGGGGCCTGGAATGCTGCTATCAAGATCTAAGATGATGGGCTCGGAGCCTATATCTCAACTGGCTAAGGCGCCAGCCACGTACACCTAAGGTGGCGGGTTCGAATCCCCAGCCTGGACCCGCCAAACAACAATGACGGCTGCAACCAAAAAATAGCCGGGCGTTGTGGCGATCACCTGTGGTCCCAGCTACTTGGGAGGCGGAGGCAGGAGACTCGCTTGAGCCCAGGAGTTGGAGGTTGCTGTGAGCTGTAATGCCACGGCACTCTACCCAGGGGGACAGCTTGAGGCTCTGTCTCAAAAAAAAAAAAAAAAAAGATCTAAGATGATGGAAGTGGATGAGCAGTGTGACTGCGTGATAGGAAATGATGTCAATGGGGTGCTTGGGCTGAAGGGCAGAACTCTGATTCACCCCTCATGCTCTTGACCAGTGAACCATGCCTGCAACAATGCAGTGGGACAGCTGAGCTAGAGCCTAAGGCCAGTTCAAGGCCTAAATGGGCCCCGAGATCAGAAATCATGGGTTAAGTGGCTGGGCTGACAACCCGTGTTATGGTTATCTGTCCTTGTCCTGTAGAAGAGGTCCCACATTTATTTATTTTATTAAGAGATAGTTTCATCTTGTCACCCTCGATAGAGTGCTGTGGCGTCACAGCTCATAGCAACCTCCGGTTCCTGGGCTTAGGTGATTCTCTTGCCTCAGCCTCCTGAGTAGCTGGGACTACAGGTGCCCGCCACAATACCCAACTATTTTTGTTGCAGTTTGGCCAGGGCCGGGCTCAAGCCTACTACCCTTCGTACATGGGGCTGGTGCCCTTCCCACTGAGTCACAGGTGCTGTCCCCCACATTTATTATTTATTTAAAAAATTTTGAGACAGAGTCTTGCTCTGATGATTCATCATTACTAGGGCTCACTCAACCTCAAACCCTGGGCCTCAAGTGCCCTCCTGCCTCAAACTCCAGTGTGTTAGGATGATAGATGTGAATTACCATACCCAGCCTTCCTTTTTTTTTTTTTTTTTTTAAATATACAGAAAGTTCTTACTCAGTTGTCTAGGCTGGAATGCCTGACCTCAAGTGCAGGGATTAAAAGCTTTAGCTACTACACTAAGCTGTAAGAACTCTCATTCCGCCTGTGAACTTCCGCCTGTGAAGCTGCTGACTGATTCTCTGGGCTCTGATAGGGCCCTATGATAGCCTAGAACAGGTATGTTTTAGCTCATCCAGTACTATACTCTGAGCTGTTCACGGAATTAAATTCTTTTTTTTTTCAGACAGAATCTTTCTGTCATCCTGGATAGAGTGCTGTGGCATCATAGCTCACAGTCTCAGGTTTTTCTATTTTTCTTTTTTTATTGTTGAAGATTCATTGAGGGTACAGAGAACCAGGTTACACTGATAGATTCTTCTATTTTTAATAGAGATGGGGGTCTTGCTATTGCTTTTTTTTTTTTTTTGAGACAGGAGCCTCAAGCTGTCCCCCTGGGTAGAGTGCCGTGGCATCTCGGCTCACAGCAACCTCCAACTCCTGGGCTCAAGCGAGTCTTCTGCCTCTGTGTCCCAAGTAGTTGGGACCACAGGCGCCCACCACAACGCCCGGCTATTTTTTGGTTGCAGCTGTCATTATCGTTTGGCGGGCCCAGGCTGGATTCGAACCCACCACCTTGGGTGTATGTGGCTGGCGCCTTAGCCACTTGAGCCACAGGCGCCGAGCCGGGTCTTGCTATTGCTAAGGCTCGTCTTGAATTCCTGAGCTCAAGCCGGGGCCTACCTCGGCCTTCCAGAGTGCTAGGATTATAGGTGTGAGACACTATGCCTGGCTCAGAACTAAAATCTTAAATTTGGGCAGCATGCCATACTTTACTTTTTTAATTTGTGATCTCAGCTAAGACCCACCTCAAGTCTATGAAGCCAAAACAACTGCTCTCACTTTGTAAGGATACCTAGAGAGCAGGGCCTATGATATAGACTGGAATATGCTTGGTCTTTAATCCTGACACGGAGCTCCTAAATTTCTTATAATTTCCTCAGTGATAAGAGTATCTTTTGTTATAGTATTTGGTTCCTAAAATCTTTATTTATTTATTTATTTTGAGACAGAATCTCAAGCTATTGCCCTGGGTAGAGTACCGTGGCATCTAGCTCACAGCAACCTCCAACTTTTGGGCTCAAGCGATTATTTTGCCTCAGTTTTTCTATTTTTAGTAGAGATGGGGTCTCACTTTTGCTTAGACTAATCTGGAACTCCTGAGCTTAAGCAATCCACCTGCCTCGGCCTCTCAGAGTGCTAGGATTACAGGCGTGAGCCACCGCACCCAGGCCTAAAAAATTTTCTGATAGGAGCATCTTTTGATCACACCTGAGTTATTCAGGTGACATAGGATGGGGCCAGTCACCAGAAAGGTCAAGTGATTAGAGGACTAGAGGGTTGGAACTTTCACACCCACCCACCAGTCTCCAGAAAAGGCCAGAGGAAGAGGGGCTGGAGACTGAGATCTATAAAAACTCTTGGACAATGGGATTTACTGAGTTTTAGGAGAGAGTGGTGTGCCCAGAGATGGCATGAAAGCCCACATCCCCTATGTCCACCCTATACCCTGTTCTACCCATTTCTTCATCTGGCTGATCATCTGTGCCCTTTGTATAGCCAACATAAGAAACCAAAAAATGGGTGGCACCTGTGGCTCAAAGGAGTAGGCACTGGCCCCATATGCTGGAGGTGGTGGGTTCAAACCCAGCCCCAGCCAAAAAAATACCAAAAAAAAAAAAAAAAAAATCATTTAACATCTGAATCAATGAGTTAGCTAAAAAAAAAAAAAGAAACCAAAAAATGTGTTTCTGTGAGTGTTAACAGGGGCAGTCTGGTGGGACTGAGCCTTCAACTTGTGGAATCTGACACTACTTCCAGGTAGATAGCATTAGACCTGAGTTGAATTATAGGATGCCAAGTTGGTATCCACTGGAGAATTGCTTGGTGTGGGGGAAAAACTCTGATACACCTGGTCACAGAAGTGTTCCATGTAGAGAGGAGAGGGAAAAGATTGCCTTATCATCTTAAACCCAGAAGACCCAGGGCTCCTGACTCCAGGAGGACCCAGGTTCTAATCCTCGTCCTACTGCCTTCCAGCTGCATGGATGTAAAAAATCTGCCAGACCTCTTGATATCCTTGACCACAAATGGACATAGCCTGCTAAGGAGGTTGTTAGGATTCAGTTGGATCACACGGGTGTGCGTGTGGCAGGTGCTCACACAGCAAAACTAGCTGTGTCACTGGCACTGCTTCCGTTATTTTTGTTTAAGAAAAGGCTGAAGCAGATGCCCTCCCTTTATTTTAGCATGGAGATTCTGATTCTGGAGTTGCAGGTGTGTAGAGATTATTCTAGAACAAGGGACAGGCCTGACCCCATCTTGCCCTATAAGCTGCTGGTGACCCTGGTGACCCTTTGTTGGTCTGTGTGGTTCCTGATTTCCTGCTCATTGCTCAGCCAGTCCTCTGGGTCTTTGTTGGGTCGTAAGTGAATGAAAAATATCCCAGAGCCAAATCCAACTTTTTCAGAACAATTTTTCAAAAGCAAAACAAACCAGTGGCCCTTCCTTCCTCCCCCTCTGTACTCTGTGCTCTGGAAGTTTTAGCTAGAAGTGGAAAGGTTAAGAAAAAGCCCAAATACACCACCTTCCTTCTAAGGGGGAGAGTTAGAGGAAGTCATTTCCTAAAAGAAGGTTTGAAACACAGGTTTTTCCCACTGTCAACTAGAACCTGCTTGAGACTTTCCAGAAGGGTCAGGAGAACTCAGATGGTTGTGTTACATGCCTAATATACAGTTCCCATCACTTCTGCAATCTTCCAGCTTGCAGACATGTTATTTTCCAAAGAATATGTCAAAGGCTGGCTCGGCGCCTGTGGCATAGTGATTAGGAGGCCAGCCATATACACTGAGGCTGGCGGGTTCGAACCTGGCTCAGGCCAGCTAAACAACAATGACAATTGTAACAACAACAAAAAATATATGTATTATATGTATACTGGCAGTTCAGTACTTAGTAATAGACTAGGGCCCTGAAAAATAAGAAAGCTCAAAGTAAGTTGTTTTTCTAGTTTCTCTGCTAACTTGACAAATATTTACTGAGTGCCTGCTACATACAGCATTTCCAAGGCCAGGCAGCACTCCTGTTGAAGGATATTTACCAATTCTATGTCCCTCAACAATAATGTCTTGTGGGAGAAAAACAGCTCATAAGCCACCCATAGCAATGGCTGCTCATTTCTGGGGGGGTAGATATTTGGTCACGTGGGTGGTCTTCTCTGAGCCTTACCTCTCTTATCTTTGAAAGGAACTGGCTCCCAGAGAGAATTAAGAAGAGAAAACATAACTAAGGCATCTGGCCCAGCACCTAGAACACAAATAGTGCTCAGAAATAACATGAAAATCTTCTCTATGTTTAATAACATCCACATTGATTATAACCTTAAGAAAACTGCCATGACTTTGCTTCCAGAACAGAGTATTAGTAAAAAAAGAAAAGCAGGGCAAAATAAGTTCAAAAGGACCAAGCAGTGGGGTATGTGTGTCCCTGGGCATGTTTCTGTTCTCATTAGCTGCGCTCCACCTGGGGTACTTCTCACCTTGGTCTTGATTTGCTTGGCGGTATCAATGAGGAAGATGGAGGAGTTGGGGTCGCTGGCGCTCATTTTGGTCTGGGCACCCTGCAGAGCGGGGAAGAAGGTCGAGTGCAGCAGGGCTGGTTTAGGATAGCCGATCCTAGGGGCAACATCCCTCGTCATTCTAAAGTAAGGATCCTGTGGGGGAAAGAGCAGTCTGATGAGGGCACCAACCAGAGAGGATGTGCATAGAAGATACTTAAGCTTCCAATTTGTTTAAAGAAGTCAGTTTCCTCTTCTCCCTACTACCTTTCAGCAAATCTTTTCCCCACTGAAGAGCATAAGGAATCTGCTGTCAGTACCCCAGATTTAAAGAACCCAGTTCTGCCTCTGACCTGGTCAATGGCACATGGGATAAGGCACTGGATGTCCGTCCTGTCTTGGAAGATCTGTGGGAATGAGTTGCTGAAGGAGGGAGCAGCCTGGATGGCAGGAAAACTGATCTTCCCTGAAAGCAAGTAAAAAATATTTTGTACATGAGACCAATTCCTGTTCTGGCTAATAAAACAATGAACAAAAATAGGTTTTTTCCCCATTATAAAACAGTCAATAAAACCTGAAAAATACAGAAAAGCAGAACAAAGAAAAAAACCCTATAGTCCCAATTGTCCTTTTATACATTTTCTATTTGTTTTACTTGATGCATTTCAGTTGTGATTATATTTAGTTTTTTTTTCTTGCCTTTTCACTTTGTTACACTTACCCATCTTGTTATTAGATATATTCTGTCAATATATTATTTCACTGGCTCGGTGCCTATAGCTCAACGGGCTAAGGCGCCAGCCACGTACACCTAAGGTGGAGGGTTCGAATCCCCAGACCGGACCCGCCAAACAATAATGATGCAACTGTGATCAGTTACAGGTGTATAAGTGGGGAGA